TAATTCACCTGATATAGCCTAAACTAACATAAAAAGTTTTGTATTTTTATATTTTAGTTACTTTTATAATAATAAATAAAGATTACACATGAAAAACAAAAAATAAAGTACTTACCTTGGTCGTCATCTTTCTGCTGTCGACAGTCATGACACTTAACCCTACTTTATATATATACACACACACACTAATGGTAGTACTGCACTAAATAAATTTTTATTTAATCAAATGATGCACCAAAGTACACAGAATAATAACATGTAAATACAGCCAATATCCCATAACTATCACAATTTTTCTGGCTTTCTAACTATGTGACAAGAGTTGTTAAAAATTCAACTAAGCTCAATCATGTGTGTCCTGTGGGAATAATCCATTAGTTAATTTCTTAATTTAAAAGTAAAGATTAAAAAAACACACCTAAATATCCATTTTTGTGTGTCATGTGGTATGTTGTATGCAGCATTGGTTCAAATTCGATGTTTGTGATGTCCAAATGCAAAGTCTATAGTTTCTTAAGTGAACTACAATGTTGTAAAATACAGTCACACTTCAGTTATAATACATTATTACAATTTACAAATAAGTTATTAAATCTCATTTACTTTTCTTTAAACACGGAAGAGTAAATAAAGAATTATAGGAAATAATTATCTCTTCCAGTTATGAACTTTACACTCATTTGCTGCTTGCCATAGGTTGCTAAGCCTTATCAAGTTTCGCATGTGATGGATATGAAAAAATTATTTTATTTTATATATACATTCTAAAATAACCAAAAATCATAAATTACTATATGAATACCATAGAATTCCACTATAATTTATCAAGCTTAGCAGCTACGCTGTATTTGGGTCTAAAAAATATTAAATTTCGAGCTGACTAAAGTCTTGCCTCACTGCTTGGAATCTAGCATGAAAAGAATGAGTTTGCACCCTAATACTTTAAAGAGGTTCAGAAAAGCACTAAGGGGACATTCTGAGCTTTTAATTGGTTATTCACACATCATTGACAGAATTAGTTGTATGTAAGCTAATCTTTACAAAAGTGGACTGTGTTTGATTTAGTAAATGTAGCGATATTTCAGCAAATCGAAAAAAACAGGAGGTTCTTATTTTATATTCTAGCTTATCAATATTGGTAATTTGAGTTCCTAATTCAACATGCAAAATCTTTATAACCTCCAGATAATTATCAAATGTTTTTTTTAGAAAAAGAAACTTTATATTTTATCTGCTATTTTCACTACTGTATCACTGTATGAGTTGGGTCAATTTGACCGACCTCATAACCACCATAAAAGAATTAGGAAATAAATATAAATTATGCTTTTTTCTTTCTAGAACGACTACAAATTACAACCGAAAATACAAATGTAGTGTAAAAAACAGCTTAAATTTCATAACATTATACATTTAAATATATTTATTATCTTTATTATATTGACCTTTCAGGTGTGCCTGGCTAACATTATAGAAGTTGCAAAGATGCAGTGCACATGCACTCATGTTACCATATTCAAGAGTATAAAACTGGCCTTTACAAAGTGACCTAGCTGTGTTTCGATTAAAAATACTTTTATGCATCAGAACATTTTCAAATTTCGTAAAATCAAAACTACATTGCACGTTGAATAGTCAACATTTAGAAAGAAAAAATTTCATAGGAAAATCTTTAAATCAAAAATGTTAATACTTTATTTTAAAATGTGATATTTTGTGTATGAAAGCCTTGTAATGTGTACCAATAACCTGCGAACTTTTGTAAAGATGTGCTCTCATTATCAAAAATGATAGTATAATTACTCTTGTGGATACTTTCATGGTTATGAGTTCAGTGGATTCCACCCAGCTCATAATAGTAGGGTTAATAAAAATTAGGTTTTTTGATTATATACTATTTTTGACTATTCCAACTGTCCAAGTAATCAAAATATTCCATTGTTTGTTTAGTATAAACTACATGATTGGGTGGGGTACATCATGATTTAAGGGTTTCAAGTTCGATTTCGATTGCCATTAAACTTGCTATTATTGACAACAAATAAAATTATTCATAACTAGCTGGCATACCTATCCCCTTGATGGAAGTTGTGTAAACTCATGATCGGTGAAAGGTTGCCTTAGGACATAAAAAGCTGCTTCCCTTATTTGTAATTGTAAAAACTTGTAATGCCTATAAAAACTGCAAACTCAATGTTAAACCACAGATTTGCTCGTTTCTCCGCGTGGACCCACCAAACCTTCGTGCCAAATTTGGTGAAGATCCATCAGCAGGGGGTGAAGTAGTGGTAAAAAATGCAAAAAACATCCCTAAAGAATGAAAATTTTTATGTGTCTTCCTGTGGATCCAATGAACATCCATACTAAATTTAGTAAAGATCCATCTAAAAGGGGGCAAATTAGGGGTAAAAAACACCTATAAAAATTGCAAAATGCAAAACTGAAAATTTGTATGTATCCCTGCATGGACCTTATGGATCTCAAAACCAATTTTGGTGAAGATCCATCCACACCCCAGGAAGTAGTTATATGGACAGACAACAGACAGTACTATTATATTTATATAGATTATTGTTTTAGATATCATTTAAATGTGGATACATGTTATTGTACAATGAATCTTGGAGGCTGAAGATTAGATTATATTGAAATATAAAGGTTTATTGATCCAGAATGGTTTCCAGTTCTTTGTATGGTGGAATTGCATCAGTAAATTGAGAAAATAATGGAAATAAAATACCTTCTAACACCAAATTATTGTTTTTGTTTTTTTAATTGGATACTCAGCATTTCACCGTTTCTTCAGGAGCATTCCTCCAAAAAAGAAAGCCTTGTACAGTCAGTTATGGTTTTTGTGTCAGTGGAATGCTCCTAAAGAAGCTGTAAAGTGAAATATTGAGTGTCTAATTAAAAAACAATTTGATGTTATAAGGTCTTTTATTTCTAGTATTAAAGTGTCTTCCATACACCAATATGCCATACAGAAATTAAAATATGACATTATTAATGAGAACAGCAATATGTAGATGGTATCAATAACAATATGCTTGGTTGATATGATGATGTTTGGTGATGTATGCTGAGCAGCCAGTCAGGTGCCAGTTGACTTGTCATCATATATTGCAATAAATATTTTTTGGTTTTGTTGCATGCTAAAGGTGTTTTTTTTCAGCTCTGGTTTAAACACAGTATTTGGGAGAAAGATGTAATGCTTAACACTTGTTTCTAAACTGAAGTTGGATATAGCTAAAAGTCTTGAGAGATTTTAAATGATGAAGAAATTTATTAACACTGTAGGGCTGTAACGAAAGATAGCTTTGGAATGTATCATGAACCAAAATCGACCATTTGATAGTACTAATTTGAGTAAATTACTGATGATATCACCATAACTATCCATTTATATTCAATTAAAAACCATTTATTTTACAGGTAATCTATAAATGAAATAAAACATTCGCATATAATTTAAAAATGGGTTATATAGAACAGTAATCACATTTTTGTATTTAAAAAAGAAAGCATGTTTATGCACAGTAAGCTTGAATTGCAAGAGCACTCTATTGTAGCTAATTAAAAGAACTGCAGCTGACTGAAGCAAAACAAATGCTTATTTACCAGTTGTTTATTTCTAAGCAGGTTAACAATCATTGTAACATAAAATTGTTGATTAATTAAATATGCCTACTGTAGAACAGGACAAATAACACTAACAGTGTGATAAAAAAATTAACTACAAAAAAACACATACAAAGTAGTGTATTATCAGACATTTTTTTTTACAGTAATTTTAATTAATTAAGCATACTCCTGGGATAAAAGGTCAGCCAAGTGAAATATAAGCAAACAGCAAAACAGAAAATGGTATCAGTTATATTTTGCTTAGAAAAAAAATATTTGTATATTTATTGAAACAATGCAACTACTAAATGTTACCCCTCTTACTTCACCATAATGATCTGCTTGGATGTACAGAAGCTGCTGCTATATTTATTATTTTGGTGGAGAATATTTACCATGCATGAAAAAATTTGATATTGTAAATGGGTGAATCCACTCTAAAAAGTTATCTAAAAGTTAATCAAATATGAGAAAATAAATGGAGAATATTGTCAAAATACTTCCATGCAAGATTTTGTGAGGCCAGTGCCACCACTAGCTTCTGCTACAGCTGATGTTGCAGAGATCTCCTAGTTGGATACTATACAAATGCTTATTGAGGTATGTTAAATCATTAGTGACAATAATGTGTGCAGATATGTTTGACTTAATTTCTAACGTAACAGAAACAAATGTTTGATACAGAAGAAATAAATATCTTTGATAATGTAACTTACAAAGAAATGCTTCGTACTCTGTAATTTTGTTAAAATTTAAGTTACCCTATTTGGCCATCATTACAAATGCTTTTGTGTCAAGTTGTGATATGTTTTCCTGTGTTGCAAAGCTGTAATTGTAATCTTTATTCACAGTTGAGCCTATTTTCAACTTCAAATGGCCTAGTTTCATCAGTGTGCTCAGTATATTAGGCCTAATGTATCATTGGTTGTACATCAGTAGTACTCCCCATGGAAGATATCTAAGTAAGGCTGATTCGAAAAGTCTCTAGGCTGACCCTTCTTTCTTTTTCTTTTTTAATGGGAATACTACTGACATAGAAACAGTGATACATTAGGCCTAATATACTGAGGGCATTCATGCTCTGGAGTAATTTAAAGTTGGATATTTGGCTTATCTGCTTTTTAGTTACTGATAATATATGATATATATACTTGCAGAGATTAGATCTAAAGATATGTTGTTTTATTTCAATATAAAACTGACTCAACCATCTGTGAATATCTTGAAGCTTGCAACATGGGCAAGGTACAATGAAACATGGCAAGTGGAGACTTCATGAAACATTAGTGTTACCTGTCACTATTTTTTAAGCATGTAGATAATAATGTCCAGCTCTTTGAAGTGAAGTTTCCTGACAGTGTGATTGCTTGCACATATGCCTATGGTGAAAGTAAATCTGCTTTATTGTCACTCATCGACTTGTCCGATACTTTCATCACCACCGTTTAGAAAATATATGAAAAATGAAAATTGTCTTCATGTTTGAAAAGTCCCTACCCATTGCATTGATTCAGCTTTCATAGGACAACAATAGACTGCCTGTCACATATCAGCATGCTCACAGAACAGTTTAATTTGGATAACTTTTAATTCTACAAGGAATTTTATGTCTAGCATTCTTACTCAAACAGTTGGCAAGAAATTTGAAATTTAGCCCTGTGGTTTACATAAAATACATACGTATTATGAGCTGGCTTTCATGCCATCAGTTAAGAGCTGGAACAAGCTCTGCAAGTTTACTACTAGTATCTAAGGATTCATATGCTTGACAGGATGATTTTATGATAATAAGAGGAACATCTGTTGGATAGAAAATGTTCCCATAGCAACAAGGGCTATGAATATGCTATCTCAAATGATATTTGTAATGAAACTTCAAAGTGAGAAAAATTTTGTCACCACAAAATTCAAAACATTTGAGGTGTTGGAGGAGTAATGTTGTGATGCACTCTTACTGCCAAGCTACATTTTTTACATTTTATAGTAAACCACGTGACAGGTATTTGAAGAAGTACCAAACAGATGAACCCGTGATTCCATTTATGGGACATGATCGGGAAAAGATAATATGTATCATGCATAGAACCTTTAATGTAGGAAACATTAAAACGACTTTGGCTTACAAAGTATGAACTCAAGAGTGGTAATTTGCTTAGTTCCACAAAACTCAATATTGGCTTTCAGTCAACAAACTAACAAAAAAAAACTATTTATATAAAAAAAATTGGTAGAAGGCTGTGTTAGAATTGCAAGGAAGTGCCCGATTCACTTGTTTAAGGAGTTATTTATTAAAACTTTCATCAAAGTGAGTTTGTAACTTATTGTTTGCCTAAATCCATTCCAAAAATGCCTAAAAGACTGAAGAATTCATAGGATTTTCAGAAGAAATTAAAATGAATTTTAACATATTTTGTCTTGTTAAAAAGTTTTACGGAATCAAAATGGGTTGTTTAGTTTATTGTAAATTAATTTTTTTTACAACATAGTTTTAGTTTATAACAATACCTTAAAACCGTAATTTAGATTTCATAAAGTAACGAAGGGGAAAAAATTAAGTCTTCTTTACTTTCATTTCATTGTACATGTTATTTGATAGAGTATATTCTTAAGCTATTACTGCATTTTTTATGAAACATAATAAAACATTAGTTATTTAATTTTCATCTCCACTTTCTGTCAAGTCAGTAAATTAGTTTAAAATGACAGTTTGATCCTGGAAAATCTTGTAATTTTTTCTAATGTGTAGAAACCATGATTGCATGACAATAAGATTGATAACATTTTTACTAATGCTTCCAATAAGAAGAAATATAATAGCATCTTGACTGTACACCTTGTGCCTTTTGTCGCTGCCAGTGAGTGTGTTGTGAAGATGCTGTTATGCCTTTTCTTATTGTGGTGCTACATATAAAGATTTGGTAGTGGATTTCAACACAACAAATTTTCTTAAAGTTATAGTAGTAGTACTAAACAAAAGATCAAAATATGTCCCTTCAGTGGTTTAGAAGTCTACCTTTGAATTCCTGAATAGCATCTTTGAAGGTTTGCAACTACTTTTGAATTCCTAGCAAGATAGTGAACTTTTCAACACAGCCCTAATTTGGAGCAATAAATTTTTATATTGTCAGTAATTTAAGATTCATTTTTATGAGGTGCTATTTTTCTCATATGCAACATTCTTGTTTTTTCAACAGATAAAAGTAATATATTTTGAAACTCCTTTTGCAGCATCGGGAAGCTTGTTTCATAAAAAATAGTTTTGCAGATTTAAAAGTTAATAGTTTGATAATGAAATTGCTTTAACTTTTATATATCAAGTCACAAACAGGGGTGTGTAATTATTGAAAAAAAAATCATCCTACTAATTGAATGTAACTTTTATGATTTTATTTCTATTAAACAATGAACAATAGTCACAACTGCTACATTCATCCAGTTATTATTCGAGAGATGTGAACTTAAAGAGAATAACATAGTAAAGAATGAAGATAAATGCACACTCAAGTATGCCCAAAAATTTGTAGAGCACAAAAATTAATCACTTAAACAAAAGATCTTCATCAGAAGAAAACAAAGACAGTCAATTAGTGAATATTAATTTTTTCTTCACAGAAACAAACAATGAAAAACAAAATTCAGTCCAAATGAACTTGCTGAAACTGAGAACATTTAATTTTTATGTAAGATGTATGGCAAAACAAAAAGAGTAATTTTACTTTTTGGGGGGTTTCATTTTGCTTGTATTTACATACAATGTTTGGTACATTTCTATTTTTGTGTAAACTGGTTTCTTTACTACAGCTATACGTTATATGTCAGACTAGTTATTTATATTATTCACTCGATATATGAATTTAACAGAATGCCATATATTCCATCTTTATATCAATCATCCTCTTTTTTGTTTCTGTATTGCTTATGTAATTTTTCATGCTGGAATATATTTAGACACTGAATTATCAATGGTTGCATGTTGCTTACTGTAAAGACAGTACATGTAATTTGTTATTTATCAGATCATTTAGGTAGAGGATTTACTTCAAAAAGTGATGTGATAAAAGTTTTTCTGACTTATATTTTTACTATTCTTAGAGAATGCATTAACCAGAATATTATGTTATATGCAAATTAATAAAATACAAAAACATAACAGCACTTCATTGCTATAAGATAGATGTAACATAACCTACTGGTTCAAATTACCAAATGTTTTATGGGTACAATGTGAAAAATGTTTCACTGCTCTAAGCAACCTCTTAAAACTAAGAGAGAAAAAGAGTTTGGTAACACGGGGGGAACTAGTCTTTCATTAAGTGACCCCCCCCCCCCCAGTTGAGAATGTTGTCACCATCATT